AGTGTTTGGTATGTTTGGGTCAGTGTTTATGGCGAGCTAAGTTTAACATTAACAGAAGAAGACCGTCCTTTTCGCCATTTTTGGCCTTGTGCCACATTTTCTGTATTAAAGCAGGAATAAATATCGCCTTTCGTAGTGGTACCCAGAGTTTATGAATATAAGCACAGTACTAGACTAGTAACAAGGTCACATTGACATACATTTACTTCTCACTTGTGGAACTCCCTACTGGAGCCATGCTTTCCAGTCAATATTAATCTTCAAAAATTTAAATATAATACAAACCCATATCTACTGTTCGCCTGATTAATCTACTTACAAACAATTGCGTGTTTAAAATATTTTCTTAAAATAAACCACATATAAATATATGTTGTGACCAAGTAAATGGTTAAAGAAATAACAAAACATGTGTTACAGATATATCAGATATTAAACAGTAAGTACACCAGAAGAGTATTCCACGACTAGTGAGTGGGTGTCGGTTGACCCAGCGTTCAATCTATTCGACTGTTAATATTTAACAGACCCCCACCACCACCACGAGGAATTTATGTGGCACAAGGTCGAGTTTACCGTAGGCTGGGCCAAAAATATTCCCTTAGAACCCGTATAAACGGGTTCAGGGTCTGTCTACCTCCCCGGACGAAACTTTGCCTTTCGGCAAAGCCTTGTCCGGCTTCCTCTCCGCTCAAGGCAGAGAGTTCGACAGATGAACAGCCTGGTCGACTGTTCCTCAAAGGCCTTCTCTCCAACTAATCTTACAGTAGGCGGAAGAGTCCAGCATAGACTCTTTAGAGGGAGGACACCACAACAATATATATCTATATATATATATATATATTTGTTATTTATTTTTAAAAATTTTTGTAAAATCGAAAAATGTTTTTCTTATGCAGATATCAATGAAGCACAGCTTCAAATTCGACATTTATAAATATATAATTAATTTCGATAACTCTTTAAAAGTCTGGGATCGACTTTACACTCTATCAATGTTATGAAATAGACCCTCACTTCTAAAATGATAAATCAATATTTTTAATTGTGACAAGTGTTGTGGCTTGGGGAATATCCAAAGAATGTACAAAAAATATTCCTGAAAAAATGTTCCCTATTTTTTATGAGTGGAGCAATCAATTTAAGTAGTGTCAATTTTTATAGACGTTTCATTCCTAATTGTTCACACATTTTGAAACCATTAACAGATCTTCTGAAAACCATGTCTAAAAATATCAAAGTTATCGCTGCATCAACAACACTTTTAAATGCAAAGAACACCTGAGCGATTATACTAAACGTAATTATATCTCAGAAGATCCAAAGGTCAAGTTATTACAGATTGTAAAGTTATCATCACACGTTACTCAGGAAAACGTGAGATTAAATCTCTGTCTGAATTTATGGGATGTAGAGTTATCATTATTTACAGTATCTACACCGGGACTATTGAATTAGTCGAGTTCAATCCCAGCTCTAGGCAGTGTGTCCATAGACTCATTAGAAACAGGGCGAGCAATAACTGAGCAGTACTGAATATGAACTAGACAAGATATCCCCAGATACTGATTCATTTGGTTTTTTACGGATTATCAACCCTTTGTGTGTTATTTAATGCCAAAACATATTTGGGATCGTAAAAATAATTATTTTATTTTTGTGAGTGAATATTGCATTAAAACCTTTTTTTAGAAGAACAATGATTTTTCCAGATACAAGTCCTAAGTTCTACAATTTACCCCGTAGCTTACAGGAGGAGATTGATTCATATATTTCCCCAAGGGTATTTGCTATGATCGCCGAACTTAAGCAATGCCGAGCCTGGCCAGTACCTAGATGGGTGACTACTTGGGAATACCATAGGAATATAAGTTTGGATGTGCAGGTGGTGTAATGGATAATGGCTCGAAATTATTAATTGGAGAGCCGAGTTCCAATTCCAGTTGTTATATTCACTTTCGTGCAAATACCCTTGGGAAAGGTATGAATTCCCCCTAGCTATGGGTTAATTAGTAAGACTTGTACCACTAAATTATTATTATTATTATCTACAAAAAACATTCTTACAATTTAAAAATAACCTGCTTAAATAACTTGCAAAGGGTTGATAATCCGTAGAAAATGACTCAACTAACCAAGGCTGGGCGATTTCGATTTCAACTGATGAGGAGGTGATGAGCAACTTAACAGAAAATGATGAGCGACTGGAAATTTTAGGGGTCGATATAGGTTTTTTGAGTATTAAAAAGGTATTTCAACATATGCTACCCGAAAAAAATATTCAAAGGAGATATGAAAAGAACTTGCATAAAAAAAAAAATACTAGAGGCTAAATGGGTTTAACAAGGTCACATTCCGAGATAAGAAAAAATTATCCCTGCAAACAAGAAATGTTTTGGTATTTTCTATAGTTTTGGGAAGGGTCATTAACATTCAAATAGTTCTTCAGATGAAATAACTTTTTTTCCAGATATAAATCATATTATGGAAGACCAACTTCGCCAGTAAAATTAAGAAGTTACCTCGGGATGATTTTATTTAATCATATATATATATATACATTAGCCATCTCGAATTTACCATGATAGGAAAAGTGCCAGTCAAAACATAATTTACCAATCACTGTATTTGCTTTTGAATATTTACTATACAGATGAGCACATGGCCGATTGGTTAGAACATTCGCATCCTGACCATGAGTCCAGGGTTCGAATCTCACCACGGTTGATTTGTACTGGAGGGGTCGATCCCAGCGTGCGGCACCTTTGAAAAGTGCCTGAAGACCATACCACGGATCGACCTAAGCCTTGTGTGTGAAATGGGGTAGACGGGAGCTGTCGATAGTTGTGCTAGCACGAAGTCACAAGGCATCGTGGCCGAGAGCTTGAGCGTGCTGGCCTTGTTCAAATTGTTAATCACGCTAGATAACACGCTCTTTCCCAGAAACTGTAACTAAGGTCTGCTCAGCATAGTTGCAGTATGAACCACAGGTGGGCTCTGTGGATGTTGAATAAACACAAATGCGCCTGAGCAAGCCTCTGCAATACCCACCCTAGTAGACGAGTCTCCAGTTATACAATACAAGACAGATGAGCAGTGGAAAAAATTTTTCCATGTGAAATTGGGCGATGACGCAAAAAAGGTTGGAAACCGCTTCTGAAGAGCCACTCAAGAGATACTGAATAAAGTGTGTGATATAAACGTAAGAGGAGGCAGAAGAAAGTGGGGATAAGCAGGATAGATAAAGATTGATCCTTGAAGAAGTTAAGATTGTAGTATTCAGGGAAGCATCCACTCGAGAGTCTGTCACACAAATTAGCAGTTCTTGGAAAAGAGCTGAATGGAATTGTCTTCTTACATTTGGAATACGCAGGAAATGTAGGTAATTCGACTGTAGATGTAGCACAGCGGGTCCTAGCAGTGAAGGCTTGAACTGGAGGAACTAAACAGTGAAGCTTATCTGAACATTTGCCATGGAAGTAGCGACAGGCGCGTAACTATCGCTATTTCCATGACATATGTTCAGCTGAGCGACACTCTTTAGTTCCACCAGTTCAGGCCTTTACTGCTAGGATCTTTTATGCCACGGTAACGGAGTTGAAATACCAAGATTTCCCCCGTATTCCAATTGTGAGGAATTGCTTATCACCTCATCATCATCATCCTCTCGACTTTTGTAATCGTAGGTGGAGGGAGGAGGGATCTACATGCAGAAGCCATATTGAATCTCCTCCAAAACGGTCTATCAACAGCAGCCATCAGCAATTCTGGTATAGTCATACATGTTCAGTGTTTGGCATTGTTCTGCTAATTTTTGCGTTGGCGTCCTCTTCTACTTCCACCTTCAACGGTACCTTGCATGATGATCTTGCACAGGCTGCCGTGCCTTGTAACGTGTCTAAACCACGCCATTTTTCTCCGTTTGACAGTAGTGAGGAGCGGTTCCTGGTAGCCCATAATAATTTCAATCCTTTTCCGCTTATCATCTACGTGCAGGCTAAACACTTTAAATATTTGCTCTTCAGCGCTGAAAAGTATACACCGAGAGAGACATTTGAATCACATATCACAGCATATTTCGAATATAAAACACATAGGCAAAACAACAACCCCTTTCACATGGCAAATTTGCTATCACATTTTCAATATTAAAAGGCTTTCGTCAAGGTTTCTCACCCAGGGGGATTTCAGGGTTTTAGGGGAGAGAGGTTTCACTTTTTCTTCTTTTTTTTTTTCTTTTTTTATTTACAGAATTTGGAGCCCATCACGTGTATAAAAGAAAAACACCCCTATAGAAATTATCCATATAAATGTCTATGTACTAATATGGAAAAGAGCGAAGACTTTCAATAATATATGCACATTATTTGGAATGCCCTTTTAGGGATACAAAAGGCGATTATCTCCCTTTCGTTGAGATAAAGTCATGTGATGGCCAGTGAGTAACGTCAGGTGATAAAGTAACGAAGTGCAGTTGTGATGTAAAACTCAAAGAAGGACGTCCCCAGCTCACAGCAGTAAGTATTACAGGAAAACCCTCATAGACTTACCAGGTTCATAGAGAAACCGCCCTAACTCCGATTTTTCCCCTCGGGAAATATTACTAATAAGGTTGTTTTTTTTTTTTTGTTGTTGTTTTTTTACACACTGTTTGCTGTTGTAGACATGTGATATCGTTTCTCTGTGTGGGATACGTGTAAATATGTATGTATAATTTTGTGTATGGCTTAGCAGCATAAAACTCTTTCTGAGAACTAAGCATGTTTGTAATTCTTTTTTTCCTTTCAGCCATTCCGTGCCATCCGTGAAATAAGCTGTTATCATATCATAGAAATAATAATGCTAATAATGGGGGAGGATACAAACTGGGAGAATATCCATTTCTGTCATAGCTCACTCACTACCCCTTTTGAGTCGGACAATACTGGAAAGGAGGAGAGTGAGATTCTGGCTTATGGTGAAAAGGGAGCATTGGGCAAAAATGGTTGAAAACGACTGGCTTACGGTCATATGACGTTGAAACATTGGTTCTCATGCGATCACTGAAAGTAAGCAACCTCGAGCCTGGTCAATACTTAGATGGGCGACTGCTTGTGAATATGAGGTGCGGTAAGCTTGAATGTGTAATGGATAACGAATTAGTATTGGAAATAGGAAAGGTATAGATATTCCTATTCTACCCCAGCTATGGAATAATTAGTAGGACCCGTATCAGTAGATTACTATCGCCAAAATATTCTTACAATCTAAAAACATTTCCTGGCTTTAAAAAGCAAAAGGTTGATAAACCATAAAAAGTAAATCAATCAACATTAAACTTTGACATCAGAGCAAACGGAAAAATAAAACGATAACACTTTTGAAGACATAAAAACACATTCCACGTCATAGAACATCCTTGTGCATTTAGCAAGTCTACAATTTGGCGTCATATTACAGCAGATGTACCGCCAATTTTATGCAAACAACTATTTCATCAGTTCTATAATCTGTCACACACAAGCAAACGTTCAACTTTAATTAAGATTAATCAAAGATTAATTTAAGATTAATAAGTAATAGATTTATTTTCACAAACGTGAATACAAAATTTCTAGGATAAGGAGTTATCATTATTTACATTCAAAGTAATGTTGCTATCTTTACAGTCTGTATTACAATAACATTTCAGTCGTTGTGCTCCCGGCCTTCATCAGGTGTCTGTCCGTTTGGACAGAATTTTGAATACTTTAGTTTATTTAATCTGCCAGAGAAGATTGTTATCATTCTGCTCTACATGTATAGTGCATTAAAGCTTGTCTTCGTGAATTTAGTAATAAAGTAATTGTGAGTTCATTGATTGCTTTGTCTTTTACAATTTACCAACCCTTTGCAGGTTATTTAAAGCCAGAACATATTTTTAAATTGTAGGGATTTTTTTTTTAGATAATAATGGCTTAGTGATGAGTCTTACTAATTAACCCATAGCTGGGGGCCACACGCGGTCGATTCATACCTAATCAGAATTTGATAAACAAACAAGAAATTACATAAAGAAGGACATAAAGTGGGGGATCAATTCTATACTACAATCAATATGTAAACTGATCTCTCACTTTGTGGCCACGGCGGTTTCTATACATTTATATTCCAGAGAATGTCGTCCTGGGTATGACGATAAACTACGTCCAGTAGCAAGGCCTCTGACCAGGAGGTTTTGAGGAGTATGGAATCACCTCTTAATTACTGGTATTCCCAGGTCCACTCTGACCCGGTGTGGTAGCACCTGTTAGGGTCCCAGTTATGGGCAAATAGTTAACCCCCAAACTCAGATCAAAACACTATGAAAGTGTAAAAATAGATTTTAATACTAGAAATACTTTGTATAAAAAATTATTACTAGCAATACATTTTTTGAAAAAAAAAAAAAATTACCATCGAAGAAAAATTCTTACTAGAAATAGATTTTTGAAGGAAAAAAATATTACCAACAATGAAAATTTTGTCGGTATTAAATAACCCATTGAAACTGATATGCCGTAAAACAAATCAAATCAAACCAAATCCAGAGAATGTAAATCAATCTAAAAGACATGTCTGGGTAGCTAATCAGTTTTTGATTGATTCATTCATTTTCTACGGCTTACCAACCCTTTTTTAGGTTAATTAAAGCCAGAAAATATTTTTATAATGTATGATTTTTTTTCATTGAAATAATAAGGATTTACTGATACAAGTCTTACTAATTAACCCATAGCTGGGGGGGGGGCGAGAAGACGTGGATTCTTACCTTTCCCAAGTCTATTTGCGCGTAAGTGAAAGTGGAACTCAGCTATCTGATTAACAATTCCGAGCCATTATCCATTACACCATCCGCACATCCAAGCTTACACATCTGGTATTCGCAAGCGGTTACCCATCTAGGTACTGACTAGGCTCGACATTGCTTAACTTCGGTGATTGTACTGGAACTCGACTCTCCGATTAACAATTCCGAGCCATTATTCATTACACCATCCGCACATCCAAGCTTACAGCACTTGGTATTCCCAAGCGTTTACCCATCTAGGTCCTGACCAGGCTCGACGTTGCTTAACTTCAGTGATCGTACGGGAACCGGTGTCTCAATGCGATATGACCGTAACCCAATTGGGAGGTCAATCCCTGGGCGAGGCAGTACAGATTTAGTAGAAAGAGGGCTAGCAGTAACTGTACAGTACATAAAAGAACAATACGTAATACACGCAGGCCACCAATCTGCCACTGGGTGCTAGGCCACTAGCGTTTACCGCTGGTGGCACGCTGTCGAACCGTGTTTATTTACACTTTTTATTTATTAGAGTGTTTATTGGTTGGCAGAACTTTGGCTCATTGCCAATTGATTTAAACTTTATAAAATGGTAAACAATAAAGATTTCCTTATAATTGGTTCATATATTTTAATAATTAAGTAAATGTTTTATAAATTTATGAATAAAAAATTGTTTTCGGCAATGTCACCACTTGCTGACCGCTAGTGGCCCACCGGTGGCTGCCACCAGAGGACCGCTGGCGTTGCCCTCGGCGGCGCGCCAGCGGGCCACAAGCGTCTTGCGTGTAGGATGGTATTATAGCAAATTGAGCTGAAACATTTAAAGGACTCCAAATAAAGTCATGAAAAGTGATAATTACAATTAAAAGTAAAAGAATTCAGAGAAGATTCACTGTGTTTGTCATTAAAGTTTCTTTAAACGAAATGATAGCCTTATGAGGCTAACAAATGCTGCCCCAGTGTGCTGGTAGTAGGACTGTTAAAACATGGCCGTGTATAAGTAATATTTGACAGCCATTCTGTTGCCAACATTAAAAAGGAGCAAGTAGCAATTTTTTTTCATAATCAATTCAATCTCAAACAAAGCAATAATGCTACAAAGACGTAAATTTAAAAGAATTTGGCATAAAAACGAAACTGGAAGAAAAAGTCATATTGGAATTAATTATAGGTCAAAAAACAGAACAATAAAATTGGAAATTAAACTAATTATTTACATTTTTACTAATTAGGTTACGATGATTGCCGAGTATAGATATGAAATGGGAAAGATTAATTAATGATAGTTTTGGGGGGCGACGTTGTAATGGTTAGCAAGCTTGTCTTGCTAGATCAATTATGACTGAGTAGGGAGATAGATCCTCATTGAGTGCTCCATACTTTCGGCCTTGTGCCACATCTAAGCTAAGCGTAGAAAGCCATTTGGGAACTTCGAAGTCTTGTAATGTTTAGCGAGCTTGACTCAATTACAACAGAGTCGTGAATTTGATCCTTACTGGGTGCTCCATAATTTCGGCCTTGTGCCACATCTAAGCTACGCTTAGAAAATCATCATTCATAATATATGTTTGTGTGTGTGAGAGAGAGAAGGGGAGGGTTAATCTTAGTTACTTATGTCAGTACCTTTGAAATAAGATTGTAAAAAGTTCGGGTGACAACATTTTGGTCATGTGCAGCACATGAATATGTAGCGCCACTGCGAATGAAAATGGCCACTTTCTATAACTTTTGGGATCTCCCAAAGAACTGAAAGTCATCAACGAAAATATTTTTTTTAAATCTCGCTTCTGATTATTTAAAATGTGGTGTTGTTTGTTTTTTGTTTTTGCTGTTTTTTAACCTTTAGCACTCTTCAATAGTCATCATCTTCGTAAAAAAAATGATTCAATCAAAAACTGCTTAGCTATACAGGCATGTCTTTCAGATTGATTTACATTCTCTGGAATATAATCGTACAGAAACTAACGTGGCCACAAAGTAAGGGATCAGTTTATATATTGATTGTAATATAGAATTGATCCCCCACTTTATATCCATATTATAATTTCTTGTTTGTTTATCAAATTCTGATGAGGTATGAATCGACCGCGTCTCGCCCCCAGCTATGGGTTAATTAGTAAGACTGGTATTACTAAACCATTACTATCGAAAAAAATCCTAAAATCTAAAAATATGTTCTGTCTTTAAATAACTTGAAAAAGGTTGATAAACTGTAAAAGACAAATCAATCAATGAACTCACAATTACTTTGTTCGCACATTCACGAAAACAACGCTTTAATCCGCTACACATATACAGCAGAATGATAACAATCTTTTCTGGCTGAAAAGCATTCAGTTCAAAATTCCGTTCCGATGGACAGACAACTGCAGTAGCATCATCTTCGATTTTCAGTCAGTCATTTTCTTGTTGCACATGACAACACTAGTGCAAAATTCATGCACACTAACTGTCTGATGATTAGAGTTGCATGCAGTGGCTGGACAAATATTTTGTTGAAATGAAATCATTTTCATCCAGCGTGCTAAAGGTTAAATCACGTGGTGCCTTCTCTAATACGTCCAATTCTGCAATCACGTAACTTATATTTTTTTTTATGACCTTGAACTGATGTTCACCATCGATAAATTTTTAGCAACTTTGCCAAGGCTCTTTTTTGTACAAATTCTATACCAGTCCTAAAAGTAGTGGAGCGGCATTGTTAGTTTCCATAACTCTTTGATCCCTGCATTCCTAAACAATTTTAACCATTCTGCCTAAGCTCCAGAGTCAAAAATCGCAAATAATTGTTAAATTTAAAAAAAAAAATTTTTATTTATTTATTTAATTTTTTTTTTTTTTTTTTTTTTGGTAAAACAGGACCTCCAGTTACCGAAAACTTGCTCTAAATCGTAAAATAAAAATGCAATAAAACTAAGACATTATTTAATTAGAAAAGCATTTAATTGCTTTTATAAACTAGATATATTACAGTGTAATCCGAATATAAGAGACCCAGATATAAGAGAAACCCGGATATAAGAGAGATTTTCTCTGGTCCCAAATTAGAGCCTGTGTTAATGTATATAAAATAGACCAAACCCGGATATAAGAGAAACCCGGATATAAGAGACTTCTTCTCCGGTCCCGACAACTCTCTTATATCCGGGTTACACTGTATAGACACTATTGTCTTAACCCTTTGCGTTCCTGAACAATTTTCTTCATTTTTATTGTTTTATATTTTGATATTAAATATTTTCCTGAATTTCATTTATTTTTCGGGGTATATCTTTATTGGAGGTGAAATCATAGTCCACACAGTTTTTAATAACAAGTCAGAAGAAGCCATATTTGTTTGTAAAAAACTGAAATCGCTTATACGGGGTGCGATGGGTAAATTATCGCCATTTTATATTTTTAATTTGGCGCAGCGCGTTGCTTGTTTTTTGTGTTTGCCAACTGCACAGCATAGTAGGGTCAGTTAGGAACCGCCTGTAAAAAAAAAATTTTTGCTATTGCTGACACAACCCTTCAAACGATATATACTTTAACAACCCTTTCATTTTCCTTGATACATTCTTCGATATGCTTCAAGTGTCCGTTATATGGAGTCTTCAGAAATTACTTGATATTTTTTTTTAAATTTTAATTACGTATTTCATTTTTAATTACTTTTATGAATTAGACATATTGTAGACACTATTGTCTTAACCTTTTGAGCCCGGCTTTGCTGAACAAATTTAATCCTTTGGTCTGAGTTCCTGGGTCAAAATTCGAAAATAATTGTAACTGTATATAATATTTCACGGTAGATATAAAAATAGTTACAAATGTTTACCCACCGTTTAACCCGTGGCTGGGGATTAAGTCATTTTTCTCTACCACTGGTAAAGTTTTCTTCACAAAAAATAGGGAGTTACACGATACACAATCATCTATTGTCATTGATCGATAGCACTATACACAGGAAACTTTTTCTTTCTTTTTTTCTTTTTTTTTTTGGAGGGGTTAAAATTCATACCACGAAATCCATGGGTCACACTGTACATAAAAGTCGGTTTATACACGAGTATATACCACTTTCCCACCGGCGGTACCCTCTCCCATTTGTGAATGCTTGGGATGGATGAATGTTTTCTATATTTTTATAGTCCCGCATTGATTTCGTCCAGTTAACTGATATTTAATCCACATTTAAGGATTGGGGGGGGGGGGTATTACTAACATGATTTTGTTTAGTTACATGTAAATAGTTTATAACCATATTGTACATAATCATTGGGGATTTTTTAACTTGTTGTCTTTATTTCCCCCACCCCGCTCCACAGACAACGATTTGTACATATGAGGACTATTTAGGATTTTCATTGAGACAATAAGGTATTTTGATGGATGTAGTAAGAAAGGTAAGTATGAATGTGATTTTTGGTGCTAGGAATATTGTTTTGTATGCTTGGGTCAGTGGTTGGGGCTTGCTAAGTTTTAAAGTTAAGACAAATAATGACCGTCCTTTTCCCCCATCCCCCCTTTTTTTAGGCCTTGTGTCATATTTTCTGTGATTTTTTTTTTTTTTTACATAAATAAATATTGGCAGTACCTCTTCCCTTAGGAGAGAGCTAAGTTTATTGCCCGGTACTCGAGGTATCTCCAAGAAGTGCTGAGAAAGCTTGGAAATTTTTATGCAATGAAGCCAATAGACCCACTTTAAATCTTGACCTTGTGTCAAATCCGGTTGCGACGTAAGCGAACTGGTAGATACAACCAATCCTGATATTGAAGACTAAACTACTATACAAATTAGTAGTGAATACTTCTTAATAATTTTAGCTTACCACACTCTATTCACTACTAATTTTTTGTTTCGGTTATCAACATGGACATGGTACTAAGACCTAAAATTCTGGATCTTGATAGTAAGACATGACAGAGAAATATGGAATCTTTGGTACTAAACATTTTAAAACTTCCTCAAACATGGAGTCTGAAGAGTTGGATATTCGTATAAAGTAAGTGTCGTCTGATGTATACGAACTGTTCAGCAAATGTATAAACTTTTGAAGAAGCTATCAACATTCTATAGAGAGCTTTCGTCCAAGAAAAAGAAAGGATATACGCCAGGCATGCAGTGTAACCCGGATATAAGAGAAACTCGGATATAAGAGACTTCGTCTCCGGTCCCGACAACTCTCTTACATCCGGGTTACACTGTACTTGCAACCAGAATTCAACAAGATGGAGAAACCTTGGATCAATATTTTCAAGCACTGCACGTTCTGGCAAAAAACTAACTTCAAAGATGTTACCGCTCAAATTTACAAAGAGGGGGCTATTAGAGATTCCTTTATTTCTGG